TCAAATTCAGCATTGACAAATTCAACTCCATTGTCTGTGTGCAGGCTCTTTGGTTTATATCCAAATTTGTTAGCGACTCAATTAAAGTACTCTTTGAATTTTTGAAAGGCTTGACTCTTCTCTCTGAGAAGGTAAGTGTATGTGTATCTGCTGAAATCATTAATAATAGTAATAAAGTAAGAGTTGCCTCCAGCAGATTTTTGATTTTTTTTGGCCCACAAAGATCTACATGTAGAAGGATTGTCTCTGAGTAATTGGAGGGCATGGAGCTCTTGTGGCCTTTGCTTTCAAGCATTCTACACACTTTTCATTGTTGGAGCATGCTTTGAACGTAAAGTCTCTTGCAAGCTCTTGATTGGCCAATCTCTTAATATTTTCCACACTTTGATGAGCAAATCTGTGATGCCATAAAATTGAACAGTCCTTGTGATTACATTGAGTCACACTGTTTGAATGCAAAATCCGTATTTAATAACAGCCATGAGATCCCAAAGCTGCTCTAAAATTCATATTTTTGTCATGAAAACTAAAGCAGGGTTGCTTTCTGACACTGACATGGTTGCCTCTTGATGTTGTGGTTTGCACACAATAAAAGGAAGCATCTAAATCTGGCATATGGTAGGCATCAGGGATTTGTAAGGTCCCTATCCTGTCAGGACCAAGTTTTGTTTGCAAAATAACAGTCCCTGTTCTCTGAGCAAAAACTTATTGACCATTGGTAAGATTTTGTATCAAAATCCACAAACCATTCTTTTGTTTTTAAGTAATGTGCAGTTGCTCCACTATCCACAAGAACTGCATTTTTATATTTACCTCCAGCAATGTGAAATAATTGTTTTTGAAAAACTGCTTTCTTAAAATTGCCTTTTTTCCTCATGTGGCTTTTGCTACTCAGCTCTTGGCTTTGCCTTGTTAACATTTGTGTCCATTTGTTCCTGGAGAAGAAGAGGCATTGATATGCAAATCCTCATTAACAAGTTGAGTTAATTCTCTGTCGTTGCCTTCCATCAAGTTCTGCCTACTTTGAAATTCAATAATTTGAGCAATAGCATCTTGCAAAGGAACATCTCCTTTAACTTGCAGAGCATTAATTATTGGAGAGTAATATTTTGGAAAGCTAGCTAAAAATAGTCCAAGTTTTGCATGTTCTGGGAAAGATTCCCCAGGTGATGTTACTGCAGACAAAGCTGTCATAAAGTTATTCATATGCTAATTCGAAAATCGAGGATGAGACAACTTTGTGTTAACAGGTTTTATCATGAGAACTGTTTGATTAGAAGTACTTAGAGAATCAAATACTTTCTGTAGTTTATCCCATATTTCTCTTGCATTGGTCATACCTTGGATATGGTAGGCTATGGTGGGATCTATAGATAGACAAATATAATCAAGTGCATTTGCATTTTCCATGATCATGTTTTATAATTTGTGCCAGTTAATATTTCAGTGGTCATTGTGGAGTTAAGATTAACAGAAGCCATTATCTATTGTTTGAGTAGTAAAGACTTTGTTGTAGCCACAAGGTCTTCAGGACAAACATGTTTAAAACAAAATAGCCTGGAGCCTCATAATCCAAAAAATGTTGGGGATTCAAGTTTCCTAAGGCTTCAGCCTTTGTTAATTAAACAAAAGTATCAAAAATATCAAAGCTAAGCCTGTTAGGGTTTAGCTTTAAATCAGCAAAGCAGCTTTAAATCAGCAAAGCACAGTCCTGCCTAACTGTGCTTCCCTAAAAATTGAGGCTGACTCAAAGACAACACAAATAGCATGTAATTTAAAAACAAAACTTTACTAATGGCTTGAATCTACAAATGCATATGGCTACATCCTAACTTAGCTAATGAACAATTCAGATAAAAGAAATCTTTGGGCCTTTGCAGACTGCTAGAAATAGTGCAAAGTGAGTACACTTTAACTGCCCTGGCTCAGGGCTAGGGAATTATGAGAACTGTATTTT